GGAGTAGTTCTTAGTTTTACTGGCAGAAAGAATCAAGTTTGATTCCCAACTCGCTGATCTGTGCGGCACGTCTTCCTCTCTCAGCCCCATTTCCTGTTAGCCTACTTTCTAAAAAAGTCCAGTAGTTCCAAAAACAAGTTTAAAAAAGAAACAAGAATCTGCTTTTAAATGTATTTATTTGATCAGTCAAGAGGTGCAGAAACATTCAACTCTAACGGTAAAGATGAGCTGCAGCAGGTTTTAGCTTCTTAGCTAGCTGCCGTCCGTCTCTGAGGAGCATCAAAAGAAAAAATATTGAGATTAAGGTGAATTTTCTTCTAAAATGAAGATCACGACTTGCGTTCCATCAAACATGAAATGTCAATCATAAGATATATAAACATTAATTCTGCTAAAAATGCATTTTAAGAAGAATTAATGACCAAATATTTTGTTTTTCTCATTTCCCTGACAAACGGCTAATAGAGTCGCTGCTAATAAGTTTTTTCTCCCACAGTCCGAGCTCCAGGGACGGCTACTTTGAGATGGGTCTGGATGATTCTGGAGAGGAGCTACTGTGCTCCTCTCCCCCTGCTCCGGTTGCAGAGGGGGAGGAGCCTGGCGGCCGACTTGAGGAGCCCTGTGAGGAGAGGGCGGAGCTTCAGATCCAAAGAGTTCTATGGTGCTGTTGTGTTCTGGTCAGTGGAGAGGTGGAGCAGAGGGAGGCGTGTCTGGTGCTGACAGACCGGCTGTTCGGGCTGCTCCGCTGGTCACATGACTCCCTGTCGGCCAATCAGGAGAGAGGTAAACATCCAGCTTCAAGCTGCAAAAATATCCTCTTTGTTAGAAGAGTAAGAATTTTCTCTCAAAGGTGCATAGTAGCGTTTTAGGTGCATAAAAAGACCAAAAACTATTTAATCCTAATAAAATAACCATATATACACCAAGTTTCCATCCTGATGTTATTTAGATCCGTTTTGAGCCTAAATAGAATTTCGGCACCGTAAATTGACGCCATCTGCTGGCAATACAACAGAGCTATTGCTAAAGCTACTAAATAGAGCCTTTTTTGTATATTTTTTCATGTTTTTTCTGAGTGCCTCTCTCCAGCTCCCCCTGGTGGCCTTCCAGTGCACTCCACTAAGAAAATCACTCAGACTTTCTAAATGATGTACCACGTAGAAAGTTTATAATCTGGCTGAAAAAAAAAAAAGAAAACACATTTCGATGAGCTCCTGTTTAAATGTTTCAGCTTAGTATCATTCTGAACCTGTTCTCAGACCAGCAGCAGAACCCACCTGTGGACCAGGTCCTGGCGGGCCTTCAGGTGGACCTCCTGACGCCGTACTCCCAGGTCCAGCTGACCTCCCAGGCTGAGCTCCCTGACTCCTGTCTCTCCTTTGGAATGAAAGCGGGTCAGAGCCGCTGGTTCATCTTCTCTGAGGCCGAAGAGGTCCGGCGGACCAGAACCGAGCTTTGTGCGCTGCTCCAGGTCAGACAGCCACACAGTGGCTCACCTTGAAAGTGGGATCAGAAATAACTGACCTGCAGACATGAAGCTGTGATCATCCTCAGGTTTCTCTGTTGTTCTGGTTTCTTCCAGGACGCTCAGAACCTCCCGGAGCCCCTCGACGCTCCTCAGCTCCTTCCTCCTTCTCTTATCAGCTCTTGGGAGGTGGAGGAGAGTCGGGGAGCTCGGGGAGGATATCCCGCCCACATCCTTTGCTCCTCTTCCTCCTCTTCCTCAGACGCTCTCCACCTCTTGTCAGATGATCCCAGCCTCCTCTCGCTCCTCTTCGTCACACACAGACACCTCTGGGTGCTCAGGATGGATTTCAGAGAAGTGTCTAAAATAGAGAGTCCTAAACCCCACCAGTCCTCTTCCTCCTCCTGGTGCGGGCTTGTGCGTGTGTCCCTCGGCTCGGTGCTTCTTCACCCCAAAGAGAGAGATGCTCAGCTGGGAGATGGAACCAGCCGCGTCTCCTGTCCTGACCCACGGCACGACCAAAGGTGCAGACCTGAAATCTGTCCTCATGGTTGTTTTCTGTCAGTTCTGTCTGGGTTTAACCTTAATGTCTCCTTCAGGAGTCGGCATTCAGTGGATCTGCTGGTTGCTGGTCAGGAGCTGCTGCTGCTCTTCCCTCTGGCCCAAGACAGGAGCTCCTTCCTGGGGGAGCTGAGCCAAAGAAGGGCTTCTCTGGAGGGGCTGAAGATGGTGGCCCTGCCCCGGCCGTGTGGGCCCTGTCCGGCCGGCGGTGGACCAGGTGGGGACCAGGCGGCTGTTTGGTCATCACAGCTCATCAGGTTGTCTCGTCTGACTGCTTATTGTGTTTCCAGGCTGCTGCAGATCCAAGGATTCCTGCTGCTGCCTCAGCAACAGGAAGCTTCACAGCTCCAGCAGGTAATGGCTGCTTCTCTTCATCAGACCATCTGAACCAGGGAGGCCAAACTCAGGAGCTCTATGGCCATGTTCCTGAAACCTCTAACGCTACGTTCCGACCGCACATTACAGATTCAGCAGAAGCAGCTAGCTTACATGCAGAGTCAATGGTTGACGCGCATCGAGGCGCAGCAACAGGTCCTGAAGGAATGAAGGAATGTCCATACAGGAATTTAAATGACGTTACATTTTGTTTCTTATTAAAAATCATTGGCTGTGGTTTATGTTGTGACTCATTTAGGTTAGATAAAAATCAGTGTATGCTGATCTGACAGCGCATGCTGTTCTGACAGGCCTCCTTTTGTTGAGTTTTATTATCATGGCAGAACAGATCACACTCTCCCCAACAGACTGATAGCAGATATAATGACACTGAAGGAACTAAGCTAGATGCCGTCACAGCTGCATCTGCAGTTTCCTCGTGAACAGCAAGGTGTTTACATACCTGCTGTACTGATCCGGTTCCTGCGGAGTCAGAGATTAAAGTAACCTTCTCTTCAAAGAGTTTGAGCTTTTTAAGATATTCTGTCATTCAGAGCTCAGCAGGGGGTTTTAGACAGCTTTAGATATAGAGCATGAACTTCCTGAGGAAGAAGCACCATAGAGAGCGTTCTGACCAGCTGTCTCACTGTGTGGTGTGGAGGCTGCAGCGCCTCAGACTGGAAGAAGGTGAGAACAGCAGAGAGGATCATGGGGGCTCCTCTTCCCTCCATTAAAGACATTTCATCCCAGCGAGGAAAGGTCCAGCAGATTCTTTTTTCAGGGTTCACTTGGGTCCTTTAAAAAGTCTTAAAAGGCATTGAATTCTTTAAAATAAAACCAAGGCCTTAATTGGTATTAAAATGTCTTAAATCAGTCTTTCGTAGGTCTTAATTTTTAAAACATCATAAATAGGATTATTTTTATTACGATTTATTTTTGTAATTTAAATAAAACATAAAATTGAAAACATATTTTTTTTTTATTAATAAAAATAATAACGGCTCGCCATTATTGGTTCCGTCCCGATAGCGGAACCAATAAAGCGTTGTTGTTGCGGCCGGGACATTTGGGAGATGCACCATTAACTTTTTGTCTGGAAAATATGATCAAGTGTAAATGTAACCAAAATTGTCTCCAGCCAAG